GGTCACGGTCATCTCGAGGCATTCATCCAGAGAGCCTAACGCGACCTATCTGACCCAGTCCCTTGGTTAAGGTTTTAATACCCTTGTGCTAGGTCTTAGGTTGACCACCTTTGTCTTTGTTCCACTCACTACTTTCCTCGGCAAATATCGCGCACCGTGGCAACCTATTTGATGATATGCGTAACACGTGCCCCAACCAACGTAACCTATGGAGGTCGATCACTTGCTCCAGTGAATAACCGCGAATATCTAAAACTCTAAGCCTAACCTCAGCATTGCTTGTCCGGTTGTCACATCATCTTTCTGTACTCCTTTATAACATCCTTTTCATTATTTTGCGTTGGTATCGTACTTGTTCTCAATTCGGTATGATTTAATCATGTATGTTACACAATAAGTTGTATTTGATTGACTAGACAAAACTCCCATTGGAAGCACACGACTGGATACGCATGCCTGACGAGCCGCAGGAACCGCGAAACCGGTCGTGTGCTTCTAGGGAAATTTCGTCTGGCCAATCATATACAACCTATTATGAAATATTCTATAAAGACGCGCAGTCACATTTTCTACGGTTAGTAGCATCTAACCCATCTATAAAACATGAAATCATATTACTGATTCTTCAGTGGACTGGCTCTGAAAGAGCTGTCTATCTAAAAATCCCTGTGTTGCAAACAAGGTTATTGTGGCGAATATATATATATATATATATATATATATATATAAAGGTGTTTTGCATGTTTAAATTACTATTCTTCCATGATATAGGAATAAGATTTATGACATGTGACATGCATTCAAATTGTTTTCCATTTTTATTCTAGAATTCGGTTCGTTAAATCAATCGTTCTCCGTTTATCATCCAGTTTCACTCGTCTAAATGTTCTCCATATTCGGTTCAAAGAAAACTGTCGAAGAGCAGCTTCGTGCCAACAAAAGAGCAATTAACCGTGCAGTGCGCGAGCTAGAAACGGAAAAAAGGCGTCTGGAGCAAGATAAAAATAAAATAACCTTGGAAATTAAGAAGCTCGCCAAACAAGGTGAAATGGATGCCGTGAGGATCTTGGCCAAGCAGATTGTAAGGAATAACAATTACATCAGACGCTTCACGCTTATGAAAACAAATCTCGAGGTAATTGTTCAAAACAAGCGTTTTTATTCTTCCAGGCAGTAGGATTAAAGTTACAAACTTTGAAATCCACAAACGCAATGGGCGAAACGATGAAAGACATTACCCGAGTCATGCGACGCATGAATGCCTCAATGAAGTTGCCTCAGTTACAAAAAATCATGATGGAATTTGAAAAACAATCTGGCATCTTAGAGTCCAAGGAGGAAATGATGTCCGACGCAATCGATGATGCCCTTGGAGATGATGATATCGACGAATCGGAGCAGGTTGTGAACAAGGTAACCAGACAGTTATACCATTGTCGACATTTTTAGGGAGGCCAAATGGGTGTTTTGATTTATCATTATAGTCAAGCGATGTGTACGTAACTGATTCCAGTCTTTCTTTGAAATGTTTTTTTTTGTTGATATGGAACGACAATTTTATGTTTTCTAATGATGCAGCAGTTCATTATTTACTTTTTTTCTGAAAAACAGAACGATGTGGTAGAGTTGTGGTTTAGTCGCTGTCACCGGTGTGCTTTTGACTCGACGGTCCGAGGTTTGAGCCCCGCCACCGCCATCCGGCTTTGGTGGTAGGCAGCTTTGCTGTCG